ATCAGCCGCACACAGGATGTAAGGTCATGTGATCAGCTGTTTGTGGCTGTTGCTAACCCACACAGAGGTAAAGCTCTTTGTAGACAAAGACTCTCTCACTGGATTGTAGAGGCCATCTCGCTAGCATACAGCAGCAAAAACCTTCCAATCCCTCTTGGAGTTAAAGCTCACTCCACCAGGGGTGTAGCGACATSTWGGGCCCTTTTTAAAGGGGTACCTGTGAGTGACATTTGTGCCGCGGCCAGCTGGGCCTCACCAAACATATTTGCACGATTTTACAGCCTGGATGTAACAGCACCTTCGGTGGCTCATTCTGTACTTTCTGCCGGGTCCAAAACTCTGCATTAGTACAGTACTTACTCAGGCACACTACTTAACTCAGGTCTGATACTGCTCTGCGGGGTGCTTTGACAAGTCCCATATACAACTGTGTGTTGTATTGAGTGAAATGACTGAAAAGGAACGTAAGGTTATGAATATAACCACAGTTCCTTGAAGGAATGGAACGAAGAACAACACCTTGTTGGCCCCGCATCACAAAAGGCTTGGTGAAGGGCGGTATCTAACTGAGTAATGACGCTGGTGACTCCYAASTTATAGGGTGAAGGCGGAGCCTGTCACCCGACGTTCAACGTCTCCACGTCACCGGTCTAAAGACGTGATTAGAGGTGGCGCGTGTCCCATATACAACTGTGTGTTGTACTTAGTTCCATTCCTTCAAGGAACCGTGGTTTTATTCATAACCTTGCGTTCATGTCTCTGATTTGTGTTTTTAGACTCAGCAGACTTGTCTTCTGAGTCTTGCAGTGGTTTTCAGAGATATCCAGTGCTGCTTCTTACCAGCTGAAACTGGATCTGAGGTGGGTAGAAGCTGAGCATGGCAATCTGCTGAGGGGACAGTTGAAGAGGAAACACACCTCCGCCGACTCCTCCCATCCCTCCCATGCCACTGACACCTCCTGCGCTACTGCTGGAAGGTGGCATCTGCTTCAGCACAGAACCTTGTACCTGGATTCACACACAAAGACAGAAACATAACCTATTATAGACTTACTCAGCAAATAATGAATTAGTATCTTGCAAAAGACAAACATGAAGCACTAAATATCTGTTAGGAAAATACATAAAAAACCCTCCAAGACATCTTCCTGAAACTAAAAAGGCGTTTACTTTAACGTCCTTTTGGGAATATCCCTGACAATCGTGAGACAGGATTTGTCCATTACAGTGTATTGTGTTACCAGTGGTGCTCTTGGTGACTGTGGTCTTAACTGCATTCAGCTCATTAACAAGCTCCTCATGTGTCATTGTGTACTGATCCCTCACCTTTGTCATGATGCTTACGTCAGAAAACAAACTCTTGTATGGAAAAGGGCAACTGATGGTCATTTCATATTTCTGAACATTCGCACCAACAGTTGTCATCTTCTAACCAGGCTTCTTCTTGCTGAAGGTCTTATGCTATGTACACACCGAACGCGTTTTGAGCAGCAAAAATGCGCCCAACACCTCAAGTTGTACGCGCTACATTCAGACCAGGTCAGAGACTAGATGCACATCTGAAGAGGGAGGAGTGTCTTGGTTTTTTTCTGGTCTGTCTTTGGCGGATGAAATGAAGAGAAAATAAATGGCTTTGCTTTATTTACTAAAGAGCAAGTGAATGTTGTGCTCACCAGATAATTTAGAGGCAGTTTGTTCAGTTAGTTTCACCACACCAAGAGCTGCAAGCTGACAAACTATTTTTTTTTGTCCCGAGCCCAGTTTAACACAGCAGTCAGTTTAACGAGCTGCTGACCCACATCGACGCTGATATCTCAAGCCAGAACATCAACCACAGATGGTTGATTTCATTCTAAAGAGCTCCTGTCCATCTGTTTCAGGTTAGTGGGTAACATTCAGGAAACCGTCACGTGGAAAAATGAGTCTCTCTCTGATTGGTTGACGCAGTGCGTCAAGCAGCAAAAGTTCATATTTTTGAACTCGAGCACCGGCTGCTTTGGACGCACTGCATGCACACAAATGCTCAAACCGCACCTTCCGCTTCCGTGCACACCACGCTAAACAGACTTGACGTGCTTCAAGACCCCTAGAGGCACGTCCACCATAGTTTTTTCATGTAAACCGGCTGCTCCTGCTGCTCAAAACGTGTTTGGTGTGAACGTAGCATTAAAGGCCCATTCCAGCCTTGTGTAGACCTACTATCTCATCCCTGATGCTCCCTGACAGCCTTTTGGTCTGCCAACATTTGCTATACAGCATTCAGATGAGGGATGCAGATATGCCTGTACCTGAGGTGGCAGGAACTGATGAGGCACTTGTGCTCGCATCCCGGGGGACTGATTCATCGGTGGGACACTTTGTTGATGTCTTGAGTGGGTCATTCCTCCTGTGCTGCCAAATATATTCTGACCACCCTGCAGTCAAAGACAAAAAGAAAAGTGTGAACGGGGAACATCGCTTCAGAGGTAATCCATAAAAACGTGACCAACGAGAACATGACATCAGTGATGAAGAATGTCATGGAGTACACATGAACAGCTTATAAAAAGAAGGATCTGGAAGAACAACAGGAGGACAGGAACAAAAGGAGAGGCTATCTTACTTGTCTAAAGGGGACAGAGTGGTTGAAGAGGGTATGGGGCTTGTACACAGTGGGTGGCGAGTACAGAGAGCAAGAACCCGCCTCCCCAGGGCAGCCTTCCTGATGGACCAAATGCAAGGCCTGTCACAGTGACAGCCATCAGAGGATCAAATTGAACAGAGGTGAACGATGTACGGGATGACGGAGAAAAAGGGGGGAAAGATGGACAAACGGGAAGAAAGAGTAGAATCACAGGAGAAAATACAATTGATAAAGAACACCACGTAGGCAAAAACAGAAAAGAAAAATAAAATCACGAGACATTACCCTGTTATAGTAAGACCCTGCATCCCCTGGTGCCGCTTCTTTGGACCCAGGAGGGCAATAAATCACTCCCCCTCCGTTGCTTCCTCCTCTTCCTGCTTTCCTGATGTCACCGTTGTAATCACTCATTCCCATGCTTCTTTTCTCTGCTTCAATCTTCTTGTCCTGAAGAGAACCTGGAGCCAGGTCGAGGTTTGGGCCACTGGGCTCATCATTCTGTACAGAAGACCACAATCATCATTTTATAATCGGGTTTATCCTGAACTGTAAAAAACTCTCACAAACAAACAATAAATAAATAAATAAATAACGGAACGCCCTGTCGTACCAGAATTCCCATATTGGAGAACTGTCTGGTGGTGGGGCTCATCCATGAATCACCTCCACCAGCTTTCAGAGGAACCTGAAAGAGAATGCAGGAATAGATCCTGAAATTCCATTGTTGTTCTTTTTACACTTTTAAAAAACTGACTTATCTTCTAGTAACTCACCTTATTGCTGGCCTTCTTTACAGTTTGGTTTTGGCCCCAGCCTCCATTGCTTCCCTGTCCCCAGGATGAGCTGCTTCCCTGGGAGCCAGTGCTGTTCCACATCCCTCCTCCGTCCTCTTCATCCTCCCAGCTCGAATGACGTGAGGCTGTTACTGAGCTCTCCTTCTCCCCCCAGCCATCTTGCATAGACTTTGACCCTGCAGGCAAAAATGTCATAGATCTAACTCCAAATTTCTGTTTTAATTATTAGAAAGATCAAACATTTGTTTCATAGGCATTTCTCACAAACAATGTTTCAGCCATTCATATTCAATTTTTGCCTTAAACTAATTGTCTAACCAGATCTAGCTGAGTTTGCCAGAGGATTTCCCCAGCATGCAGTCTTCCCTCCAGCATCATCGGGGTCTCCCCAGCCAGTGGGAGCATCACTTGATTTTCCCCAAGCGGCTGTGCCATTGTCTACTGTTGGACTTGATGGAGAAGTGCTTCCCCAACCTGATGGATCTGAACACAGACAGACAAAGTGAGCATGAAGTGGTCTAACCAAAATAAAAATAAAAAATAAGTAAAAACCTGGTCCACAGGTCCACAACCATAGAGACAAACAATTTAAACTCACTCAAAACTAACCTTTCACGCAGTTTTCTTCTAAAATTGCTTTTTGTGACTCCTACAATTTTTCAAGTTAGTGACGTGTTAACATTTTGTAATTTTATTATGAAAAAGTAGTGCTGCAATGATTATTCAAAAAACGATCAGTTATAAATAAAAGGTAGACAGAATTTTATTATCAGATATTCATATATACCCACATAAATGTTCCTTTGCATCTAATGAAATACACAAACTGCTGGGGACAGAATTGCTTCAGTTGTCTGTGGTTTATTTACTACTGAAGGAGCAGGGCCCATCTGCAAACCACAGAAGACGATGCAGTGGGCACATCAAAGATCGGTAAGAATGGCGGAACACAAAGATGGTCATGTGGAAGAGGTAAAAAAAAAAACAAGACTTTAACTTAACTTAGTAAAATGCAGACTCGATCATTCCACGGCAGCACAGCGGCAGTGAAAACATGACCACCTGGAGCCATGATTTTGTCCTCTCCAGGTGGCTGTGTCAGAAAGTTAGCTTGTTCATCAGATCGATGCCTTATAAATCTTATTTTCAGAGACCGATCACTTCGTGCTGTGGCCAACAGTTTATAAATTTTGTTCATTTACCTCTAAGAACACAGTGTGTCTTAGAAGCGGAGCTATCAGTTGTGCTAATATTAGCTAAAGCAGCGCATTCATATTAAATCACTGAATTATAGTAATAATCCATCCTATCTCATCGTCCTGTTTTTTATTTTTTTGTGTGCGTTTTTTTTAAATTATTTTCTTATTTTTATGCACTTGAATGTTACTTTAACCAAAGTTATTCTTTAGTTTATTTTGGACTTGCAAAGCTACGTCTACAGCTTGCAGAGCAGATTAACAGCCCCTCATGGTGGGGGAGAGGCTGCTATTTTGAGTTAATTGTACTTTAGATATTTCTTTAAAAGACTACTTGCAGTTTAATTTGTATTTCATTAAATATTTTATGATCACATGTATTAATGTTAGAAATACATGTGATTAAGCCCAAAAACTAGATACCGCATAGCAGTAACATAATGACCTCCGCACGCACAAATGCACCAGAACTCAGAAGTCTTTATTCCTAATAAATGTCATGCTGCTAGGTGCATCCCAAAATTGTAGTAGGTCTTTTCTTTTCTTTTCTTTTTTTTGGGGGGACATTGGTTGACCCGATGGATATCCCCTCATCAGGGCTAAACAACAAAAGAAATCTGAAACTCCTATGTTTAACAGTTTTTGAGCAATAACCATTTTGTACGTCCAGATACCCTTTCTTCAAATAAATTGGGGGTCCGGGGGGGATGGGGGCACTGATTGGTGGGCCGGATTGATAGAGCTTCAGAGCTAAACAACAAAAAATCTGAACCTCCTATGTTGAACAGTTTCTGAGTTATAAGCATTTTTGCATGTCCAGACAGCCCCTCTTTGAAAGGAGCCCCCTGCTCAAATATGGGGTCTTATCGTAAAATCGTTGGCTGGCGCAGTGTAGGTCGGACTCATCTACAGTCCTGCCAAATTTCATCTTCATCGGTGCAGCCAATTTTGTGCTACGGTTGACCAAGAATCTCTGGAGGGGGAAAAAAACTGTACGAAAACAATATGACTCCCGCTTACGCTTCGCATGCGGGGGTCATAATAATAATTAGGTGCAGTCCTATGAATATGGTTTATGGTACATGGGGATGTGTAAAGCCCATGTGAGTGGGGGCCTCATTAAGTGGGCCCATTACTCTCCCCAAAAGAGACACTGAGCTTTTAATCAAACCTTCGCGTCCCTCGGAAGAAGGACACCAGAGTAGAAACCCTCAGTGTTCTGAGCTTCTCAGGATCCATAAAAGGTTCTCCAAGAATTCTTTTCCTTTGACTACTCAGGGCCAAGCATTGGCCCAAGTAGTGCAAAGAGGTCTCCAATTCAATGACACAGGGATCGCACAGACCATTGTGATTGGAGTCCCATCACCATTTTATGGCGATTGAGCAAGTTGTACCCAGTTAGGACTCCAACCAGAGTAATTAAAGTTTTCCTTGTCAGGGCAAGAAGGGCTTTTACAAACCAAGGATTTGGGCCATTTATCAGTTCTCGTGCCTGTCTGCAATCCGTCAGCTCCCTCCAATGGTTTGAGTGTTCACGTCTGATCCATGCCTGTAGGGCAGTCTGACAAACTGTTGCTGAAATGCCTACAGCAGGCTCTGGTCTTTTAAAGTGGGCTTGACTGCAAGCTCTTGCAAGGTAGTCAGCTCTCTCATTACCATAAATGCCAGTATGTCCTGGGGTTGGATTTATAAAACTGGCGTACGCACAATTTGAGCCCAGAAACTTGCGTACGCCACTTTTTACGCCAAGGTTGTGATTTATAAAATCCAAACTTGACGTGAAAATGTGCGGTGCCTCACGCCAGCTTTGACCCATGCGTACGCTCATTTTGGAGACGGGAAACTGCGACACAGATGGTGAAGTGAGGAATTAAGAGCCACACAGTCTAATGATCACTGTCAGATATTTAATTTACCTTCAGAATCAGACTTAGATTTTTATTCTTTATCATCAGCTTTCTTAACAATAATTTTTATGCTTCTGCTGCTGCTGAGCCATAAGGACCTTTGAAATAAAAAAACCTTAAATCTTAAATAAAAGTTCCCGTGCGCAACTCCATTCATCTGCTTCCTCCTCAGACGACCCTGACACACAGATCCCTGCCTGACCCACAGACCCCTTCCTGACCCACAGACCCCTCCCCGATAAGAACAGCAGGACAGCAAAAGCTTTGGATACACTCACAGGGCGCATCCACCTCACGAGTGTGAATGTTATAAACGTTTAAAGTCCGTGTTTGTCACGTGTGCGCGCGCGCGCGCGCGGGGGGATGTCTGCCGCGGATAACAGAGCAGGCAGGAGGGGGAGAGGACGAGGAGAAGAGCGGTGGACTTACTTCTAATTTTATCTGACTTATTTAACTTAATTTTTATTGTTTTTATCGTCCTGCAGGCTCTGATGGAAAATTAATTTGAAGCTGAGGTTTTTTATTTTTATTTTTTATAAAAATCATTAGATTACTCTAAAGCAAAATGAGGGAAAATCTGTGTCAATTACAGACAATCTGTTCATGTGAGCAGCTGTCAGTCAGCACCTGTCTGAAACCAGACGCATGAGCGTATC